AATTTGAAAAACAACATTTGAATAGCCAAAAAAACAAAAAAGACTGAAATTTTGGTTTCCTTAGATGACTGATATTGACGTCAACGTATAGATTATAGTTCATGTCTTTTTTTTATAGTTCATATCTTTTTTTTTTGAAAACATTGGTTTTTGAGAAAGTTATTACAGATTTTAATGCTTAGTCAAAACATTCAAGAAAGCATAATGGTAACTGTTGAAAAAAACCTCTTGTCTAAAATTGAAAAATTTTGGTGGCAGCTTTGAAATAAATTTTTGCTGTACAACTGTCAAATATATACAGCAGAACCGTTAATCTGTTCAAAATTTTAAAATAAATATTATATTTATATAAATTTAGAGAATTTTTGATCAAACTAATAAAACATTTATAATTATATAATTTTTAAAAACTGGTTTTAGCTAGAAAAAAAAAATTGTTCTTGTATGCAAACGTTGCCAACAGGTAATCTAATTTATTAAAATTAAGAAAAATCAAAAAAAAAAAACAGTTAGAAAGATAAAACAAATGCTTTTCTCGAGATTAAGAACAATGATTTTGACTGTTACAAATGCAAATCAAGAAAAGTGATATGTTGAAACGTGTTAAATAAATCTATCAAACTGAGTTGTCTATTGATACAACCTAAAAAAAGTCGACAAAATAGAGTTGTCAATTATCCAAAGGTTAACCGGACAAATATTTTGGGTGCAGTATTTATTTGCAAAACAATAAACTGACATTTTAAGGTTGTAGTTTTGAAATTTTCCAGCATTCCGGTATTTTATTTCATGAGAAAAAACTAATCTTTCTGCTATGGTACTGTTCCTTAAAAAAAAAATTGTAATCTTTCTGCTATGATACTGTTATTTAAAAAAACTGTAATCTTTCTGCTATGGTACTGCTGTTTTTATAACTGTTAGATAAAAAAAAATTTTTTTTTGCCAAAGAAAGAGGAAAAAACTGGATTTAATATAATGCAATAAAGTTTAGTTTTTCAATGATACATTTAGTAGACGTTGTTTTTTTTTT